GACGACGATACGGACGAGGCGGAACTCGTTGATGTCGCGAGACCGTGATCCGCTGACGCGGTCGCACTACCTGTACTCGGTACCGGCAGTCCCTGGAAGTACTGGCGAGCCCCCTCTAATACGTTCGTGAAGCTCACATCCATGTCACGCCGACTGCTGATCTGCAATTAGAACGAATTATTAGAACGAATCCGATTTAACATTTTCTTTTTCTTTTTTTTTTTGTGTGCGAGAATAGATTTAAATCGTTCCAAATGTTATTTCGATTATTTTGATCGTTTGACTAATTCTTCGCAAAAAGATAAGCTTCGATATTTCTCTAAATAAGTCAAAGTCATTTTGGAAAAGGTACATAAAAAAATACGAAAGAAATTCTTACGATAAACCGAACATTTAGTACATTTAATAGAATGGGTTCTTTAGAAATTACGCGAAATATTAATTAAATTCGAAGCTTCGAAAGCGTTTAATTTCTACAGTGTTTCAAACGCTGCTCATCGATCTTACGAGAAGAGAGGTACATTCCCCTCGGGTTTCTCACGCAGATGAGACATTCGAAAATAAGGCACGTCTCATAAACCGCAACGGGCGACCCCGAAGATTAACGAAAACTAAGTTCGCACGGTGCTGTCGGCTACCAGGCTAGGGAACCAGGTCGAAACATTAATCTTCATTGTCTTGTATTTGTCCGTTGCGAACGAACGCTTCCCTTCTCCCTCTCTCTCTCTCTCTCTCTGCCTGCCTTTCCATCCTATTTTCTCCAACGACCGACTCGAAGCGTGATCTCGCGTTATTAATCTCGTTGGCCCATGAAAGATAAGATCATCGCGCTGAACTGCAAAGGGGAGATTCTTCGGAGAGACCGATGACGAGTTGCGATCCTAAACGGTCGGGATTGATAGAGAAACCTCGCGACTCGTCTCGTGGCTCGATTAAACGCTAGGTTGATACACCTGATAAACGGCGGCGAGGAGATGAGGTCGAGGTTTTGCGAGGAGGAAGAGCATTTAAAGAGAATTTGAATTAGACAATTTACTCTTGCATTAGAGCTACACAAGCTCTGTATGTGTATATATATATATATATATATATATATATATATATATATATA